ATAACAGATACCCCTGTCGAAGTGTCGCGAAGTCTAGGATTTCGCCGTTACTGCTGATAGACCCCTGACCCGCGACACTGTATTAAAACTATTTCAAATAATTAATTGATAATTATATTTGTTTCGATTTAAAAAAATAATCAGAAATTGAAAATAATATTTTTAAATGATTGATTTTATAAAAAGTTAAAAATATTTGACAATAAATAGATGTCCAAGTATTTATTTATTAAAAATTTTTATTTACTTCTATTTTTTATCAATTTAATAAAAATTTTTTATTATTAGTTATAAAAACTAACGGAAAAAAATAATGATTGAAACCGTTTTAAGGGGATCCGCCCTTCAAACTAGTTGAAACTTCCTTAAATAATTAAATTAAACAAAACATTTCACTATTAGATAAAAGAGAATTGATGACAAATTATTGGAGTTAATAATTCTTTTTATTACCAAAGACTTTCATGAAAGATTTATATTTATGTTATAAAAATGAACTTTATTATTCAATTCTAAACAAAAAGTCGTTAAAATACTGTAATTATACTTTTAATTTATGCAAATGAACATTATTTGCATTTTTTAGTTTACAGTATATTTAAATCAAGATCATGAAATCATGAAGTACTATAAAATCATCAGACGTTAGTCCAATATAATCAAACAAGGTTAAGGTCCAGAATAATAAGGATTGGCTACTACGCAACAAATCCAACTTGTAAGGAGTTATTATCGTGACATGAGAAAATTTTACCTTTGATAAATTTTCTTTGTTTATTAATTCAATACCAGACCAATTAAAAAGAAGTAATAAAGAAATGGATATGCAACAAGAACGTCGTTTTACATAAACAATAAATTTTGCCACGTTAATATATTTTTTCATAAAAGTCGGCTTAATTCTGCATGACCCGCCTAATGTGTTACTACTAAAATTTGTCAGAACTTTATAAAACCATGTTTCGTGTTGGTAATTTATAATTGTTTAAATAACTTTTGTTGGTTTGCTAACACTTACAATTGCTAATTAGTAGATTTTTTCATTAAAGATGGTTTGTGCTTTCGAATACTTTCAGCGACGCCCGTGAAAGTAGTTACTAAATTTATCTCGGTCATCACGTTATTATATTGACACCTAAGAGAACTCGCAGAACTGTTAGGCGGTTGATATTCTTGCGCAATTTTAGCCATTTCTTTCAAAGAACTACTTTCAGATCGATTAGCAAATAGTACTGTATACAAAAATAAAGGATTCCTGTACAAAAAAAATATTTTGCGTCAATGTTCTTGTAACAGATAATTGCAATGAACCTAGTTTATTAATGGTACACACCCTCTTGATTTGTTATGTTCACATATTCGTCGAAGTTGATCTCGTGGTACACCAGAACCTCCATCAGAGAGAAAAATAATGACATTTGCTCTAAAATAATATCAATTTAACATATTAAAAATTATTTGAGGAAATTAATTTATAATAAAAAGAAACAATTACCTGTTTGCGTCATAATATTGGTTGATTAAAAATCCTGCTTTTTGTATTGCCAGGTTAAAATCCGTCCCTCCTCGAGCCTCATGTTTAATCATATGATTTAACAAGACATCAGCATCCGTGAGAACGTGATTTTCAAATGGCACAATAACTTCATGATCAAAAAGTATTAATGATATAGTATCTTTATTTGCTGCTTGGATTTGAGGTCGACTACTTTGGCTGGCTAACCGAGCCTTAATAAATGCATAAACCTTTAAAAGAAGATAGAATTAGACAAAAATTTGGTTAAAAGGATTTTTAAACATCAAAATCCTATATTACCGCGCTGTAAACTGCTCCAGTCCTGTTATTATGTTTCTTTAGCTTATCATAACAGGGCATGTCTGGTAATGGTTTTTGGTCGCTTGATGACATAGAACCGGATTTATCTAACGCAAATATAATGTGGAATGCGGCCTCCCTTTTACTTGGGTTCTCACAGTTAAACTGGTGACCATCAAGTGAAACATAGCCAAAGCTATTGGATGGTGGTTGTGATGGATTTAGACTTTGATGGAAAAGAGCTAATTCACAATATGATTTATTGGATTGTGCATTAGAAGCTCCATTTGATTTATGATGAATTTCATCTTGACATTCGTGATCACATTTCGCAAAATCTTGTTGATCCTGAATTGAATACGGGTCTAAAATAAATTTTTGGTATAAGTAAAAAAGGAGGAGAATATACAAATACAATATAATACAGATTAAAAGTAACCTTTAAATCCCGTGCGTTCCCAGAAGAGACGATGTGAGATAAAGTCTTTCGCCTGATGAGGATTTGGATTAACTGAAGCTAGAAAATTTACAGTATATATAAGTAAATTGACAAAACAATCTTACGCGACAAGAGAAGTTTTATAGCAAAATACCGCTAATATGTTGAATGTCCGGTTGATTTGTATTTAGCCTACAAGTCTCCTCATTTCTACAGTAATCAATATGTCGATGACGCCCTATCTCCTTACAGTACTATTAATAGTTCAAAACCATCATGTACAGTATATAGAAAATTTAAAAACGAGCTGAGTGAAAAATAATATAATAATAGCAATTTTTTATATAGACGTACCAAATTGCATAGAACAAATGTTCCGTGATCACCTATTTGTAACTTGTGGCTTAAATTGATAAAAGTAAAACACAGTATATAGTATTGTAGAATTAATATTACTGTATATTATATAAAACGTCATATAATGAGTTAAAATACAGTCTATTCATACCCTGCATACTCGAAGTTTTGATCTTCACTTGTAAATTCCGTTTGAATCATATTTCCATGCTTTGTTTCATGCAATGATTGTGTATGTCCGTAAGGCAAAATACACTTGAACATAACATAAAAAGTTAGTTTGATATTAATTCATTTAACTCTGAAATGCTAACGGTTAATAAATGCCTACATAATATTCGCAATATTGGCACTTGGCATCACAGAAATGAAAACTATTGATATCCTGGGAATGAGAATGCCTTCCTTCATGCTTAAACTTATTAGGTGGGATCTTTTTATAGCACCTTGACCTTTCGCTAAGTTGAATATACTAATAATAAATTAAAGTAATTAGGAAATATTATAGGTATAGTAGTAAAAAAAGGCTTTTTTTTTTACCTTAGTAAATGTAATCACTGTTTCGCTAACTTTTCCTTGATATGTCTCTTCTTGCCTTTGCGGCTCAGTCAAAACTCTACATATTCCGGGTTCCTCGCAATATTCTAGGCACTGATGCTCCTGCCTATAATTTATTGAAGATGCCCAAAAAATTGTGATCAGGTATACGATAATAAATATTTATTTTGCTATAATACTGACCCACAAAAATGATTTACAGCGCGAGTTTCTGAGTAAGCATGAAAATGATCATTGCTTTGACATCTCCTTTGGCATCTAAAGTTAAATAAATTTTAAATTTAATTATTATCCAAGTCGCAAAGGATGTCTGGTTATTTCTTACTCTGGTATAGGACATTGAATGGGGCATGTTTCATTTTCACAGCCTGTCAATATAGCAATACGTATTTAATATATACAACAGAATGTATTACATTCAATAATTTAGTGATCAATAACATCCTTACGGTGATCATCATGCTCTTCCTCACAGGCAGTAATGCATTTGTTAGGGCACTGATAATTTCCTTTTTTTGTGCATGTTGATAAAGAACAAGGTTTACCACAGTAATGACCTGACACGTGCAACACAGTAATTTAGTAAGATAGATAGTTAATATCACAGGTGATTTACTTAATGTACATACGTTTTGACTGACACATATGTTCACTATCCTCGTGACCTATTTCTTTTGCGCAAACTTTTTGACAGTTACGCTTATCCTCTAAACTGCAAAGCTTTCCGCACACATGGCCACCGGAATTGTCACATGCATGCTTTCCATCATGACCGGCTTCATGTTTACACTGAGGAATGAGTTCCTTATTCGTATGTGCTTCCAAAAATTGACATGGAAAGTGACATTTATGATCCGTTAAGCAATTGTGTTCATTCTCATGATCACGGTTTTTTATACATTGGAGTCCACAATGGGTGCAATTCATTCCACACAAAGTCCAAAGGATAGTAATCTTGCTTATTTCTTTCTCCATGTCATAACGTCCGATTTGAATGTCACTATGATCTTGTGGAAACTTACAGGTATTTTGTTCAAACCATTCTTTAACTCTCGAAGTCCGTCGATCAACAATATATTTGAAAAATTGATCTAGTCTCTTAAACCATTTAGTGTCATCGAAACAATCTTTTCTTTGTTGTATGTTTTGTTCAAAGTACATTCTCAAATCAGCTGATAGATGTGCAAAATCGGTGTTTTCTTCGAAAAGTAATATGTCCTCATCCGAAAGAATTTCTCTAGGATTATCGAAATCTTCCGATATTTTAGGCAACTCAATCACAGGGTCATCTATTTTTGTTCCTGTATCATGATTCTGTGTACATAAAATTCAGAATATTTAAATTAAGAACCAGCTACTATTTTTCATAAAAATAACGTAACACCTACCATCAAGCTTACAAATGTTGGATTATTTTCTTCTACACCAATGGATATAGCCGTTTGAAGCAATCTCTTTAATGTAGACACGCGAATTTGGACCAAATTATCATCCAAAGAACCCCAATCACATGTCTATAAAATACGCACCAAATTAAAAAACTTAGTTAATGGGTATTTACATGTCAGAAAATAATTATATGCTTTTACCTTGATTTTTGCCATAATCATTTTCGTGTTCTGTAAAAAGGTTCGTGCATTTGTATATTTTGCTTCTTGTTTCTCTAGTGTCTTTTTAAGTTCTTTTAGGCTCGTAAACCTGTAAAATAGCAATTGTATATTATTTGTACTGTTTTCCTCAGGTTGCTTCTAAAACGACATAGTGTAGATATCTATTAAAATAAGTATAAATATATACCAACTATGACAAAGTCACCAAAAAAAAAAGGATTAATAAAAGGGGATTAAGAAGAAATAGTATGCATTAACAAATAGACAAGGTATTAATGTATAAAAAAAATAAAAGATGCAAACTCTAGAAAAAGAAAGAATATGTTAATATTGAGAAACAAAAAAAATCAAAACTGCAAGATTAAATTTAATACTTTCCTTTTTCATGAAAAATCGGGTAAGGAATTATTATAAGGCCACTTGGGTACATTCGAGTTATAAAATTGTCCTCTCCTTCCTTGAATTATAAAGATAGTTTTAATGGTATTTCTCAATATCCATAGAACAATATAACGCAAATACCTGAGCGACCATTAAGTTAAACCTTAAAGAAAATTCTCGAACAATATCTTTTCTGTCTTGTTTAGGAACGTCTTTAATTATGACGCATAGCTTTGCCTATTTAATAAATGAGCCTTAATTAGCATACGGTATCTGTTGTTTATAACTTTCATTATGAATTTTTAATACTTTAAATAGCTTTGGGTCGTTCAATATATTGGCACCATCCTGGAATCTTTGAAACATCGTTGACATATCACGGTTAACCGCAAATTGATTCTTTTTTTAAAAAAATTTACATAACGCCATATGAATCACATATTATATATTTTCTTTTTTTAACAAACATAAATATGGTTTACCTTAAAAAGGACGATATTAGATGTTACAGTGTTGAATAGCGTTAAGAACAAGTCTAAAGATCAATATGTTAATACCCAATATCATATTATAATACATTAGGTTCTACTGTATATTTGCTTACCTTCTTGTGGAGTTCTTTCGAGGGACTTCAAGCCTTCAAAATCCAAGGCTACGTAGATATATTGTGGTGTAATAGCTATAATCAAATTTATCAGGTAAATATAATGACATCGTCTCGTTTATATGAATATCTAAATAAATACCCAATGACATCCAGACACCTTCAGTGCATCTCTTTTAACAAAAAAGAAAAATAATCAATAAAGGAAAATTAGGGAAATATAAGTACTTGTACACCCACCATTGCAGACCCATCAAATGTAGTTCCCACTAGGTGATTTAACTTTCAAAGATGAATTAGTAAAGGAAAGATCTATTGATTTGTGACCACGTATTGTGTACTGTATACTATATCCTACCATGTAAGATTTTCCACACGATTGTTCGCCCATGCTAGAAACCACTTTAACCTGGCGGTCACCGAAATGTTTAAAAATTCCTTCATACCACCCGAAAGAAATATTTTGTACAATATTGTTTAGGTGAAGGCCGTTATTCTCAATGCCATCTATATTATTTTCATTTGATGTTAACCCGTCTTGTAGTGGCTGGAATACATTGTTTCGGGCAACCGCAATTTGAATTGGAATTAAGCAAGAAAGCTGAATTATCCATTCTCCGAGATGAAATTTTGATGACTTGTTTTCTTGAAAGTCGGGGTCATCCATATTAAGTTCGAAAAAGGTCATTACATCTAAATTAAATATTTGTAATTAAAATTTGCTCAAAAAATGCTTTAATTTATATTAGCTTTTGATTACCGATGTTGAATTTTTTTAGACTGTTTGCTGGTTTTTTTGTGGAACGTTTTAACTCTTCGAACATCTCGTCGATATAATCTCTGAATCTTTCTTCGTAATCTTCAACATTGCGACTAGACAAATCTAGGGCTATAGTCAAGCTCAGAGATCTATTTATTTCAGTATCTATACAACTATCAATTGGATATTTTTCAAACATGTATTGATACACGTTGACAAAACTATTAAGATTTGTTTTGGGTTCAATTCTAAAATCCATCCAAGAATCTGGATCAGCAATATTTGAAAAAGTCCCTGCAATTTTCAATTTTGTGTTTGATTGTATTTCAAGAACGCATCTTTTTTCATTTTGAATGACAATACTTTCTCCAATCAAAACGTTCTTAGAGAATTGTGTATCCCTTCCTACTAAAAAAGAATAGCTATCATTTCGGTTGGAAGGTGTCGAAATCCTTACTTTTCCCATTGATTTTTTGTTGGACCTCTGCTGAAACTTGTATTGTGTTTTTTCAAGTGTAATTCTAGTAACCAGTGAACAAAATTGTCCCTTAACTACATCGAGGGTAGTAAGATGCATTTGTTGTTTCTTGATATAAGAGAATTGAAAATGTTCAACGGATTGCATATTTTTTGGCATAGGTATAACTATAGTAACAAACAATTACAGTACTGTCGTAATTAGTTATAATAAACATGTAAATATAATGAATTTAAACATTACTTGCCTATACTAGCGGGGCTACCAAAATTGGCACAAAAAAATACGTGAGCTCTAAGCATTTTTACTTGATTTTCTGAATTATAGCCATTAATATTTAAAGGCCCATCAGCATCAGGGCTGTCAGTTTCTTCGGTTTTACTATCAGCATCAGGGCTGTCAGTTTCTTCGGTTTTACTATCAGCATCAGAGCTGTCATTTTCTTCAGTATTACTATCAGCATTGTTGTTTTCATTTATTTGTTTTAGTACGGTATCTTTCGTGAAAGCCACAATACATGCTCCATCGGGCGTACTTAGAACTTTGGATGATTCTGGTGGTAATTGCAATGAGCCAGGTCGAAATTGATTTGAGACTATCATATAAATTCTGGAGCGACCATTCTTCTCAATAAAACATATATCTTCTGTATCTTTAATAAAGAAAAAATGTTGAATTTCCGGTACCATATGACTATACCACTGAACTAACTGAACATTTGTGGCCCGTGGAATAAGAGTAACAAACTTCTCATCAAATACGTAAACGTTTAGCTAAATTAAAGGTAGTTGTTCGCAAATAAAATTTTACATAAACGCAATGATTATAATTATTTGTACAAAGATTACTTACAACTCCCGAGCTGACATTATAGAATCCGATTAGCCCCTTAGGCTCATTTACGGAAATGAAGCTATTTTTTTCTGCATATAATATTTTAAACGGACTAGATGGGATAGACGACGATAGTCGGGATGCAGTGTCAAAATATATCTCCAGCCGATTTTCTTTATTATTCCATAGTGCGAGAAAAAATTTATTTTCAAATTGCGAAATATTCCTATGTAGAGATAAGATATTTTATAAATTTTTAAAGTTTAAAATAGAAAAAATTTTTTCACATCATTTTACCTAATATCGTGGGTTTCTGGATTTATTTGAAAAGAATTTCCAATATCACCACTATATTGATTATTAAATTTTGGCGGAGGGACATGAAATTCATCTTCAGAAAGTTGAAAATTATCTCCTTCATTAAACGATGTTTGATAGATTGTAATTTTGAGTTGATCAGGCTGAATGGTTTCGATTTCGTATAAAATTAAATATTTTGTATATTCTTTTATATGAGAAAAGCTCTCTATTTAAAATAAGAAATAATTGTTTTTAGATAACATGTTATGTTATTTGAAATGTAAGAGATTTACCATATAAATTCAATATCTTTAAAATATGCCTAATGTAAAATAATGCGTTATTATATAATAATGCGTAAAAATATTATAAAACGTATATTAACAAGCAACTTACCCTGTGGAAAACTTGTTTTCTATTTCTTTGCAGATTCTATTAAATTCTTTCTCTTCTATTATTTCTTTAGAGCGTAAATATTCTGAATCAAATTTTTTAGTAACTTCTTTCATATAAGATTCATTGTATTTTGGAACAATCGCCTGAATATTTCCTGGAAAGATCTTTCTCTTCCAACTTTCATATTCCTTCAGAAATAAATCAATAATTTCATGCTTTTGTTTAGAAAGAGACTCAAATTCCATTGAAATAATTTCATTAATAAAATTTCTGTCAGATGTTTTGGTAACTGATGTTTCTGCATGGTGCAAAGCGCGATTAAATTTGGAGTTATCAGTTCGAAATATGTTTGCCAACGATTTCATTAGCGATTGAAGCGACCAAGAACTTTTCTTCTCTTCTATTTTTTCCTGATCTTGCCCCACAAAATACTTCTTTATGAGCTTGTTATAATCCAATTCCTTGTCCATGAACATATCAAATATTAACTGACACATTGATTGCCTAACATCATTTGACAACTGTGACTGTGTGTCTCCATATTGATCCATGCCACTGAATATATCTTGTATAAAAATGTTTAAGAAAGAGTATCGTTTTTTTAATCTTTTCCATTCTTTCGAATTTATTTTCAAAGAATTGTCTATTTGATCACATTTAGCATGATATTTTAATGTGATATTTTCGATGGCTTTGTGGATAATATAAGATGATATATTTAAATTATATAAAAACAATGCATTAATTATAAATATTCACTTACTTTGTTTCATAGTTTCATCATTATGAACTTGTTGCGTAGTGAAATTGTTAGTCAATTCTTTATTAATTAGTAGTTCAAATTCACTGTTTAAATAAAAAAAAATGTTTAGATAAAACTTTTTAAACCACTATATATATTTTACGTGATTTTGAGATCCATACATGTATTCTTCTCTTAATTTTTTCCAAACATATTTAGTGAAAATTTCTGCGTCTTCTTTTATGGAGTCCCTTTCATGCGCTTTCTTATGCTCTATTTGTGTCTTCGCATCTTCTAATTCCTTTCTGTAAGGACCGAGTAGCTCCTTTTCGATTTCAGGCAACCCGTTTTTAATCAATATTTCTAAATTTTGAATGCTCATATTTTTGTTGATACGTAAAGCATATCCATCAAGTCTTTTACCAAAATCTTCTTTAAACTTTCCATACTCAGTATTAAGAGTATTTTTCATCATTTTCGATGTAGCAGTAATTTTCTTTTTGGTGATTAATGTTTGACTAGTTACAGATTCTACCACTAAAAAAAAACTCTTGATTAGATTTATAAGTAGGTTTAAATATTATGTGAATTATTTTAAGCCCACCAGTAGGTTGCAGAGGATATCCATCACGAATATCTGAAATCATTTGTTGTGGCAAATAAATCTAATTTTATTTTTTATATAAAATTCTTTATTGTTCATTAACTCAAATATTAAAAATTTATAAATAACAGTGCTCCTAATTTGTAATTACTCACCTGAAATCCTGGAAATATTTTAAAATCTTCTTGTTCTTCTTGACTTTTTTTCACTTCAAATTCATAGCAGACACCTTCCTTTTCTTCTTCAGAATCGTCTTCCCCCTCATTCTCGGAATTCCAAATAAAACACTCCAAGTCGGATTCACTCATCAAACAGAGTTGATAGTCCGTAAGTTTAGTAAGATATCTGTACGTGTGCAATGTAAAATTAGTTAGCAACACCTATAAAAATGATATAGTAAATATAAGAGTAATTAACCTGTGTAAATTTATCATGTTTTTCTTTCTTTGAGATGAAATATTTTCTTCATAACATCCAGGTTCAGGCCAATTAATAACTAAACCTAGGTTTTTAGAATGCACCATAAGCAGGTAAATTCCAGGACGTAAGGAAGGTATATTTTCCTTTTCTGTAGATAGTTCCTGAGATTGTGAATCTACAAGCAACTTATATCTAGAGTAAAAAGGATAATAATATTCTTGTGATTTATTCGCATGTCTTTAGTAAAGACATTTATAAGTGTAAAAATTACTTGCATTCTTTCATCAATGATGCGTTGTTTATGTAAGAGCTTTGCAATTAATGTATAATTTCCATAACAACCAACTAGATTAACAGAAATAGAATCCAGTTTCTCATAATTAATTTCTGAGATTGATCTATAACTTGATGGAACCATTTTATTGCAAAATTTCTTTAATGATTCTTTTGAAATGATAATTTTGTCGACTAAAAGAATGTAGCGTGATTGGTATTACTAATGCTTCCGAGTTTAATTGGAATGTTATAATAGTTATTAAACATAATACCGAGGCCATTTGACCCATCGTCCTTGCACAAGTCAAGTAATCGATATAAACCAGGAATGTTATAAGATAAATCATTTTCAGGAGAAATAAAGTTTGGAATCTCATCTGAGGGTCTTTCATTTGGAATGAATGATGACTCTGAAATCTCCTGTTTCAAAGAAGTATCAATTTCTGGAGATTTTAATGATCTAGAACTTTCTGATGTATTGCTGCTATGCAAAGAACTTGGCACATTTTGAACACGAATTTCTGGAATCTGTTCACATAAATTTGCTGTCACAATATTTGTGTGCCTAGAATTCTCGAAGTGAGGGGCCGTTTGCGTAGTAAATTCTAAAATATATAAATGCATTAAGTTTTTTATGAATTATTATTCGGTGGGAATTTTAAAAATTCGTTTATTATGCAATCGTTTGATGCGTCGCACTGCACACACAAAAAGAAGAAAATATATTCCTTACCGAAACTCTGTGGATCTTTCATTGTAATGGAGTTTCTTTCAAGCAATCGAAATTCTGAATCTTATATATACTTTAGCAGTTATAATATATTAAATAATTTTTTAAAGAAAGTTTACGTGTTTAACATTCCATAATGCAGTAATCCTAATTCGGATAAAATGACCATTGATTACAAGACTTTCTAAGCATATGTAACTGTACATCCCTTCTTGGTAAGTCGTGGATTAATACGGTACTCGAAAGCACGCTTCCTTTTTCTCTTGTAGCAAATAATAAAACAAAAAGGAAAGAATGATACTCCAATCATAGTTTCTATAATATCGATTGATTATTTCTAATTGCACATGTTATGCTTACAAATAAAAGCTATTTATATAAATGCCGAAGCAATAGGTCCTGGTCAAATGATTTTATTGATGCATTATAATTTGTCATTGTTTGCTCTAATACTATAGTTAAGATAAGTAAATGTCAAGTCAGCATTTTTACAGATTCGGCTTTAGTTCAATAATCATTTGATTGTATCTGGTTAACGGAAAGTCAATTGCAACCGCGATCCCATTTTGGTTTAATAGAATAGACACTAAAAAACAAGAAACAGGCATACCTTTTTTTATATATTCGTGTTGAAACTCAGTTCAAACAATAGTAGAAAACAATAGAAAATAAATTATGAGCGAATAAAGCTATTTATTTTTTGTTTCTCTTTACATTCCTACCCTAAAATAAATCTATACAAATATAGCATCAATCACCAATCGTTGAACCTTGAACATTGGCAATCGAGATATGAATTGTTGTTGAACCATTATTATCTCATGATTTCGTTTACTATATGTAGTTTGTCTTTTTAAAGGTGTTTATCATGTTACGTTGCTGATTCGGAATGATTTAAGTTTGTGCGTTCTGATTAAGTGCAGTATTGTACCTGTTCGTCTATATTGTTTATTAAAACTATGATGTCATTTGCAAGGATGTTGTTAGGTATCCATATATGGTTTTATAGAGGTTTGAGCCCTCCTCTTATAGCTATTCCTCATGTATTGTGCTTGTTTAGATTTTGTAGCCAACGTATGTGTGCATTAGAATCTGTTTGTCTGTGATACTAAATAGTTTGTAACCAAAGTGTGCACATATGCCATTATTAATGGCTGTTATTGGAAGTCATATTTTGTGATTGAAGGACGCTCTAATAATACTTTTGATCTTGTTACTTGTCTGTAAGAGATGGTTGTGTCTTGGGGAAGGTATTCTATCACTGGAAAAAGAACATGATTGATGATAGATATATGCTGCTTTTCAATAATAAAACTTCGGTTTATTTTGTTGTTGCTTGTATTTTGTGTTTAATGAAGTTCAGCTTATACATTTTGCTTCCTGTTTCTTAATTCAAATCTTTATATTCTAATGACTTATGTTTTGTCTTTGGGCATTATACCGTCTTTTTTACATTTTATTGTTTTGTTGTAAAGAGTTGGCTATTATAAGTGCTGTTTTACCAGGTTTCATTATAATATTGATTAATTTGATAATTATTTACTAGTTTTTTCATTTATTAATAATCCATACTGTATTATCTATATATGTAATTAATGTTTTTATCGTATTGTATATCTTTCATTTACATAATTCAAATTTTTTTAATGAATTTTAAACTAGTATTCTAACTTAAATTTGTCAATTTTTCTAATTAGTTAAATGTACAGGGTGTTGCAAAAAAATGGCAAAAAAATTTTTTCCAACTGGAATACATCTTGTTTTATAAGGTTTTGTGCACAGTATGTTCCAAATTCATATTATACAAATTTTCCATTGCTATTTTCCAAGTAGAACTACCTAAGATTTGAATTAATCTTCTCTACTGATTGACTTATTACCCTCCATTCTTTATATATTATTAGCACACAGGTTCTAATCACATATGTAGAGTGCTAATGTGCCAGGATGTGTGCCTTTCTGTTCTATCCACTATCCAATGAATGGAAACTCAAAGAACTATATCCTAATATGATTAGCCATAGATTAACCATATCTAGCAAGAAATATTTTGCAGCTCTAATTAGGTCCTGAAAAATTATTATTACTTTAATAGTTTCATGGACTCTAGTGGAGAAGTAAACTCTTATATGAAACTGAAAATTTCACCAAATTCGACAACAATCATCATAATGTCATCCAAATAATCATTATATTGTTTTACCTTCATGATATTACAATTCTAATGTCTTACTAAATCAGTATAAGAATGACTTCATATAAAAACAATACTAAACTGGTTATAATGTTAGATATTCAATTTTAATCATTTCAATTTATCTTCTTCTAAAATTTTTTTTTAATGTTAAGTGAGGCATTTCTCACGATCTTTATTAATATAATAAAATGAATTGTTACATGATTAATATTAAAATGTAAGATACATTGCTATACATGTCAGCCTACCACCTGATTAGTT